TTCAGAATCCCCTCCCCCATTTCTGAAGACCCGAAATGTCAGCCTTCCTGCTCCTCTGATGCTGCTTGGCCTGCTGTGTTCCTCCAGCTCTACACCTTGTTATACCAGCAACTGGACGAACAGGTTAAGTTACTGTTTTGCAGGCTGCTTCAGTTTGATGGTTCTTGGTTCACTTTGTGACCAAGGTGAGGCATGGTGGTTTAGGGGTCAGCACTGCTGCCTCACCGCATTGGTCACCTGGGTTCAGCTCCAGCCTTGGGTGCAGTGTGCACATTCTATTCCGTGTGCTCCAGTTTCCCCCAGAGACCAGAAACCTCCAGGTTAGGTGGATTGGCTATGCTAAATTGTCTGTAGTGTCCAGGGATGTGTAGGTTAGCCAATGGGAAATTCAGCATTGGAGGGGTTTGGTTTTTGGTGGAATGATCTTCAAAGGGTTGGTGTGGACTTGATGGGCTGAATGGCCTGTTTCAGCACTGTAGGGATTCAATGATTCTATGAAGGAGAGCCTGATTTTCTAGGGTTAGAGGTAAACTGTCACACTGGGTAGCTTGGTCAGATTTGATCATTGACAGGCATCTCCAGAATTTTAGGGGATAGACTCTCAGAGATCCGGAATATCGCAGCACAACATTCACATCCCAGAACCTATAGTCTCCAGGGCCTTCCAAAACATACCAACTCCAATCGTCTGATCATTTCACACCACGGCCATGCTTGTGTTGCTAGATTTGGAGGAATATGAAGAAATTATTTGTAGTCGACATGTAACAATGGTTAATTTATTTATTGACTTGTTGGATGTGGGTGTTGCTGGCTGGTCACCATTTATTGCCCGTTCCTAGTTGCCCCTTGGCATGTGGACAAGAGATTAGAAAAACAAAACACCTTCTAGCAATTATTATAATCAACAAAAATGACCATTTTTCTTGGCATCTTTTGCTTCATTTTACATTGTTAGTTTTCAAACTAATTACACTACAACACCTACGCATGGAAAGAGCATCAGGTTTTGAAGCAATAAAACATGCAGGAAAATAATGTGCTAAAGCCAACTGGATAAAGCAGCTTCCCATCTGAATGGCCATCGTAGGCACTGAGTGGGAGAAATAGGCAGCCCTCTCCTACATCAACTGTGAATATTCTACAAATCACTGCAGATGAAACTGCTTTTCTTTAACTATTGTGGCGTTGAACAGAGGCAAATGGCACAATCACAGAGGGTGCAGACACTAGGTTTTACTTGCTTCTATTTATTTGAAACTATATTCAGAATGTAGAATGTTCTAACCTCTCTTTGCTCCTGATATTTTCAGCTTCAAAGACTTCTTGTCTTGCAGTTTTGCTTAATATTTTCTATTATTTTGATATTCAACAGCTACACCACCACATCCCCTGGGAAACAAGGTCTAAATAAGCAGAGGCAGATTTTAGACAGATAAAAACTGCTTAGATCCAGACGTACTGATAGATGGTTTCAAATTTGAGGCTCCAAGACAATGACTGACTTTTACTTCAGGATCAAGAGTAATTTGCATCTCTAACTAGATGTGATTAACACATTCCAAAAATAAGTCTCATTACTCAAACAAGTTAGTATATTGTAGCACTGAAATGTGACCTGTCACATTGGAAACTGTCTTTAGGTGAAGTTATATTGTTTTACAATCTTATCCAATTGTTACATTGATGAGTAGTTAGTTTTTGACAAGTATATTCCTCATTTAGTGATTTCCATTCACATCCTTACTGGAGATGGGGCTCTGTAATACCTGCATTTAAGGATCATGATTGACTAGAATTTGACATGTTTCACATCACTTCCTGTAGCCAAACAAAGGCCTAACAGATCTCCTCACCAGGACCAGTGACCCAACATTATTGAGCTGCAAAGTCGTAGACAGGTATGTTTTTTTTTATTTGTTCACGAGATGTGGATGTCACTTGCTGGGCCAGCAATTTATTGCCCAACCCTCACAGCCTTGAACCGAGTGTCTTACTGGGCTATTTCAGAGTCATCCATATTGCCATGCACTTAGAGTCACATGTAGGCCAGACAGGGTAAGGATGGTAGATTTCCTTCCCTAAACAGCATTAGTGAACTAGGAGGGTTTTTATAACATTTCAAAGTAGACCACCTTTTTATTCTAATTTTTTTTAAAGTGAATTCAATCTGTTGTTGGTTAGATTTGAACCCATACCTCCCAAATATTAGTAACTACTGGATTATGAGTCAAGGGACATTACCACTATGCCATAGTCTTCCCCCAGATCTGCTCCTTACCCTGGTTTAATGGGCTGTGATGGACTCTGTCCTTACTACTCTTGTTTAGGTGACTCCATTGCCCATTATCTGGTTTTCTCAGTTGCTTGTGGGTTTCAATCGCAGCTTTGGCTGTTTTAACCACCAATCTCCAACTCTGAGGCTATGCTCAAGACTTTGATGATTTGTGATGGGATTTCAGGTTTACCTGGGTCTGCTCATGTGCTGCTACCCCACACCTCTCACTCCTCTACTTACTCTCTCTCAGTCCTGTTCCACTTCCTATACAATCCTTTCTTGCTTCAGTCAGCCATTACTGCTCTCTCTCTTTTTTCACTGGCCTACCTCTCTCAATTCCCATTCTTCTCAATCAGACTTTCCAACCAACATCTTACCCAGTGCTTTCACGGCCTGAGACTCTTTTAGACAAATACCATAGACCCAACACTTACTACATTCTTTTCATTACCCATTGTTGTACGTTACTATTACACCTCAGGTTACTCAAATTGCTGGATTCTTTTGTAACTAACCCCACATTGCTCACTCCTGAGGGGTTAACCTCATTAAACTCTCTCCTGGTTTATTTCATGACCTCTGAGCCACCTTGAATTGATCTGCAAAAGACCCGCTCCATTACATGGATGGCCATCACTATCCACAACCTCACCATCGACAACCTCATCCTAACTTCCCATTATGATGAATGTGGATTGTTTACCATGAAGGAATCTCTTGCTGGCTATATGTCCCACTCAGGTAAGCCACTGACGTGGCGGTATGTATAAAATTATCAATTGCCCCATTCCAATTACTCAGGAATGAATTCCCAGACACTTGCTTCACCCACCTGCAGCCCACTCACTTCCTTCTACTATTACTACAACCTGCAATTTAAACAGATGAAGTACCTTAAATATATTTGAAAATTTTGGGAGGTGCGGTCACAGTTAAGAAATAATAAGAATTAGCTGCAGAGTCACATAAATATCAATCCCTGTGCAGTACTCAGCACTAAGACTGACCTTACAACAACTCTCCTTCACTGTCAATGGCCCCATACCACTTCACCAAATAGTACAGCATAAGAGGAGGCCATTCTGCTCAACAAAGTCTGCTCTTGTGAAGATCAATCTAATTTGTTGCATGCTCCCTGCTCCTTCATGACATTCTTGTAATTTTTCTCCCCCTTCCCCCGCCAAAATATTTATCCAAATCCCCTTTTGAAGCCCTCTGTTGAATTTGTCTCCATCACCGTATCAGTAGTGGATCTGAAATCTTAACCACTCAACATGCAAGAAAGATTTTTTTAAATTAAATTTGTCTACCACCTCCCTGTTTAGCCTTCAGCAATTGGAAACAGTTTCACGGTTTAAACCCTTCAAGATTTTAAACACCTGGAACAAATCTCCTCCCTTCCTTCTTTGCTTAAAGGAGAGCAGACCCAGCATCTCCAGTCTGACCACATTACTACAACCCTTCACCCCTGGAGCTATTCTAATCAATGTCTCCTCTTCTCGCTAAATAGGTTTCTTGCTTTTTCTAAAGTGTGCTGCCCATAAATGGGAACAATACTTCAGCTGGGGCTGGGCTAGTGTTTTATAGCAGTTTAGGACACCTCACTGGCTTCGGTACCCGATGCATCTCTTTGTGATGGTGGGAACATCCTGTTTTGTTAACTGCTTTGCCGACCGTTCCTGTCACCTTCAAAGATTTGTGCACAAACACCTCAAACTGTGTCTGACCCTTTAAATAGGATAATTTAGCTTGTAATTTCTTTCCTCATTCTTCCTCCCAAATTGCATCACGTCATGGTTCCCTGCAGTGAACACTGGCAGGTGTCTACCTATCCCACCAGCCATTCTCTTGAAGTGTAATTACAGTCTCCCCACTTCAGAGTTTCACATCAAATGCAGATTTCAAAACTGTGCCTTTACGGACCAGGTCATTCATGCACTCCAGTATAAATCTCCTTTCAGTTGAAAATACAGTAAGTCATACACAGCAAATGTTTGATTGGTCAGCTTGTTGTGTGTCCTGGCTGCTATTCCTATTTTTATTCCAAACGATTTCAATTTTTCCATCAATGTGCACCACTTTACCAAACACCTTTTGAAAGTTAATACACATCAACTGCAATGTCCTCACTGAAGCAGTGTTTTCATCCTCCCTCTCTATTGCTTTGTTTCCAACCAGCAGTCTTAAAAATTTTAAAATACATCCTTTTTGCATAAGCTTTTTGTCACTCCATAAGCTCTCCACCAAATGCCATGAGAATAGTCATGGGCTGATGAGAACAGAGGAATACCAGCAACTAACTGTTGTGGCAGTACAATACTTTCATCTTTATGCCATTGGCTTGTTCAACTTCTGGATTGTGGTGCAAAAAAAACTTAAATAAAGCTACAGGGAAAGGAGATGGGATGAAACTGTTTCTACTGGCAGAAGAGTCACAGATTTAAGGAAATTCACCAAAGAATCAAAGGGGAGATGACAGGACTCTCCTCTGTAGTGAGTTATTGTGATCTGGAACGCATTGCCTAAAAAAGTGGCAGAAGCATATTTAATACTAACCTTCAGAGGGTAATTGGATAAATACTCCAAAGGGAAATATTGCAAATCTCTTGATGGTAGCAGGTTGCTACAAGATTCACCTTAAACTCATGCCTCCCTTGACATAGTGTTATTTAATGTCTCAAGTGGTCTTCAGATTTCTAACTTTCATGCTAAAAGAAACAAATTACATTTCCTAGTTTCTGTTTTATTGAATGTTACCAAGTTGGCATATTATTTACGAGAAAAGAGGTGAGCGGGGCCCAATTAGGTAGTTCTTTCAGAGTCAGTATAGGTTCAGCAGGCTGAATAGCCTCCATACACACTGTATGAACATAATTGCAGAGGGAAAAAATGCACATTGAAATTGCACAGTTTGGACTTACATTAAGTCTCAAAAAATGTTTGAATCAGGCAGTCTGAGAACTCCACTATCCATCATCACATCTCTGTCGCTTTACAAATATCACTGCCTATAACTCTAGTGAGAGCACTCTGAATAGGATGTCACAAATTGCATTGTCTGTTTTTCAAAAACCTCGGAGTCAAGTCATCCACTTGACCTTAAATTTCAAAGTTTGAAAAGCCAATGACAACTTCACACCACAAACTGGCCTCTGGTACTTTGAGATATTGTTGTGCAAAAACAGACTGGGTTTCTTTTTCTGAAAAAACAAACACACAATTGCAGATAAATATTATTCCGACCCCACTATTATGTTGAAAAATCTAGCCTGATACCAAAACATTTGACGCTCACTTCCTTTATGTGGAATCAAAGGGGAGATGACAGGTCTCTCCATCTCAGTACTAACAATAGAAAGCACCAAGGAGAAACAAAAGTCTTACAGCTGGGATAATCCTTCCCACAACACAACATTGGAGAGTTAGCTCACAGTCAGAAAAAATGTTGCTTTAGCTTCAGGTATGCTCCAGATTGGAGAGTTAATACTGACCAATAGGCCTGTTGTGATTGATTAAATAGGAAAAAATGTTCAATGGGAGATAATCTTGGCAGTTGGAGAACTGGAAATTTAAACATCAAGAAGTCTCTCTTTTTAATTTCTTTCAACATCAATCTGTGACATATTTACCACTCAGGTATGCAGAGCGCCATCTTACACTTCACAACCCGAGGTATTTATTTCTCGGTTTTGGGTTGTCGAAAACAGAGTTTCCATGTAAATCATTCATATTCCTCTTTTCAAAGGATACGGTCTGATTTTGCCTTGAACACTGTTTTATTCGTAATATATTCATTAACCATGCACACTCACTTCCCTTTCCTATCCTTTTCTAAAGCTCATTTGTGCCTTCCCCACAGTAAATCTCTTAATGGTACCATGTTATTGTGAGATTTGCATTAAACTCACGCCTCCCTTCACAGATTGTGTTATCTAATGCCTCAAGGGGTCTTCAAATTCCCAACTTTCATGTTAAAAGAAACAAATTGGACATTTCTTAGTTTCTATTTTATTGAACATTACCAAGTTGGCATATTATTTAAAACAGCTCAGCAAATATTACAACTGAGTGAATATTTTAAACTTGTCCATTATTTTCAACTGCATAATTGGTACCCGCATCACATAATATCAACAGCATTATACATTCAGAATTTCTATGCAGCATTGGAATTGGTGAGTGAGGGAGGACTCAGAGGGAGGAGGAGATGGAAGCAAAAAAAGAAACCTCCGCTTCAAAGGGGAGTACAAAGTTAGAAATGGCGCTATAAGCTAAACTTAAATAAAAAATAAGCTCTAATAATTAAATGAAAATTACACATCCTCTATGACAGACTCAACAGATGTCAAGCCAGTGTTCTCGAGTTACAGGGTTTTTACAGTTCCGCTGAGTTGAGGGAGGGGATGGTTAGGACAACTGGGAACGTGAAGACTTCTTCAAATGTCGTACTACCTGTTTGATTCCATGGCCTTTCCAACCTGTGGTTTATCTCGGCAAGACACCTACATGCTGAACAGAATAAGCCCTTGCCAGGTGATAAAAATTCCTACTTTGGTACATGTGAAAATGGGAGATTACCTTCTTTAAAAGGATCAACAATCTCCCACTGCAATAAAATTCAACCAACCAGCAGCAAAATCCACAACTTCAGTGCCAAAAATAAATGACCAATTCCACATGAAATTTCAATTCTAGGTAACCTATTAGTAGTTCTAAAGGTAGGAGTGGCCAAATTAAGTTTATCTTTACTTTGTGCCCAGTTATAGTCAGATGTTGAACACAGGTCAAAAAAAACTTGGTAGAAAGCACTTGCAACAGAAGCTGCTAGTCAATGGAGAGGGATCTTAATCCACCATCAGCGACGAGGAACCAAGACTGAATTTCAGTCAACATGGAACCCTGGGAGCACTCATGAGGTGTGGGCCCATCACGGCGCATGGGAGAGGAAGGAGAGGAACAGGGAGGGTGAACAAGCAGATCACACTTCAGAAAGTGCACATTTGAGTTCATCTGAACAGTCAGTTGCTGTGTGGTGTAACTTGTGGTGTGCCTGCTTGTCTGAGCCCCCGCAGACTCTCCGCCATCTGAAGATGCCATGAATTTCACTAAGTCGGCTTGGTTTGAGACGTTGACTGATCATTCAGAAACCTGGTAGCTTTATTCTGATGGTTAATCGCGAGACTGATGGCAGCGATATTCTTCAGTCCCTGAAAAAGAATGAAATATCTTCATTAGGAACATCAACTTTAGAGTCATTCAGCATAGAAACAGACTCTTTGGTCTAACTCGTCTGCTCCAATCAGATAGCCTAAACTGATCTAGTCCCATTTTATATACCCATCCAGATGCCTTTTAAATGTTGTAATTGTACCAGCCTCCACCACTTCCTCTGGCAGCTCATTCCATACAAGCACCACCCACTGAGTGAAAAAGTTGCCCCTCACATTCCCTTTTAAATCTTTCCCCTCTCACCCTTAAACCTATGCCCTCTGGTTTTGGGCTCTCCCAACCTAGGAAAAAAGACTTTGGCTATTCACCCTATCCATGCCCCTCATGATTTTATAAACTTCTATAACATCACCCCTCAGCCTCCAACGCTCCAGGGAAAATAGCCCCAGCCTATTCAACGTCTTCCTATAGCTCAAACCCAGCAACATCCTTGTAAATCTTTTCTGAACCCTTTCAAGTTTAACAACATCTTTCCCATAGTAGGGAGCACAGTATTCTAAAAGTGGCTTCACCAATGTCCTATACAGTTGCAAAATGACGTCCCAACTCCTATACTCAATGCACTGACCAATGAAGTCAAGCATGCCAAATGTCTTCGTCACCACCCTGTCTACCCGTGACTCCACTTTCAAGGAACTGTGCACCTGCACCCTTAGGTCTCTCTGTTCAGCAACACTTCCCAGGGCCCAACAGTTGACTGTACAAATCCTGCCCTGGTTTGCGTTACCAAAATGTAACAGTTCCCATTTATAGAAATTAAACTCCATCTGAACTCCATCAGCCATCTGATCAAGGTTCCATTGTACTCTGAGACAACCTTCTTCACTGTTCACTACAACACTAATTTTGGTGTCACCTGCAAACTTACTAATCATACCTCCTATGTTCACATCCAAATCATTACATAAATAAACAAAAATCAGTGGACTCAACACCAATCCTTGCAGCACACCACTGGTCACAGGCCTCCAGACTGAAAAACAACCCTCTACTGCCACCACCCTTCAAGGCAATTTTGTATCCAATTGGCTACGTCCCCCGGATTCCATGTGATCTAACCTTGCTAACTAGTCTACCATGCAGAACCTTGTCAAATGCCTCGCTGAAGTGCATTTTGTGCATATAAGTGCAACATCTACTGCTCTGCCTTCGTCAATCTTCTTGGTCACCTCTTCAAAAAAACTCAATTAAGTTTGTGAGACATGATTTCCCATGCACCAAGCCATCATGGCTATCCCTAATCAGTCCTTGTCTTCCAAATGCATGTAAATCCTGTCCCTCAGAATCCACTCCAACAACTTACCCACCACTGATGTCAGGCTCACTAGTCCACAGTCCCCTGGCTTTTCCTTATTGCCTTTCTTAAATAACAGCCACACATTAGCCACCCTCCAGTTTTCCGGCACCTCACTTGTGGCAGTCGATGCTACAAATATCTCAGCAAAGGGCCCACCCAAACCCATACATCAGCACCGTAACCAAAGCTCAAACCATTCATTTTGGCATTGTTATTTCTAGGAGCTTGCTGCGTGCAAATCAGCTGCTGATTTCCTGCATTACATTAGGTACAATTCAAAGTACATATTTTGCTATAAAATGCTTCAAGGCCCCCTTCCCAGGTTGTGAACGACACTACACAAATGCAGTACAAGCTAGTTGCACAAGCTAAGGTCAACAGGATCTGGTAGGTTTTTGTCTGCAATTTAAAAGAATTTGGAAATATTAGCAATTACATTCCACTCAAAATGGTTGAGCATCGAATCCAAACCTCCTTCAATTTTGTGCACGAATTTATAATGTTTGGTTTTATGGCCTAACTCAGTGTGCCAATTACTACAAGCACTGGACTCTTAAAATTTAACTTTGCATTTCTCCTCTGAATAAGCAACAAGAAATGTTAGAAAAATAATGTATTCATATAGGAGATCAACATCATCCTTCGCAATGTAAATCAAGTCAAAGAGTGACTTCCTTGGGGAAAAACCTGCTTTAAAAATTACAGCTCTACCATCCTGCCTGATCAATTTATTGATTTTTCTCATATCTGTTTAAACAATGACCATAAATGAGCAACTTATTTGAGGAAATTAAATTTAACAAATCCACTTTAAACAAGGAAGCACCATTGATTAATGCCTGCAGTTCCCCTGATGTCAGTCAGCCTTCCAAGGCAACTGCTTTGATAACATCAGGGCTTGCTTCTCAAATAAAATTAAATGATAAATAAAACACATTCATAGTGAATAATTCCTTTTGATCAATTTGCAGAAAGAATTGTAAATGGTTAAATTCTGCACTTTAACAAATGCCAGAGGAATAAAAACAATCTCCATTTGTATAGTGCCATTAACTGTTTTTTTTTAAAAAAGATACAGATATTAGAGGGATAACAAGGTGCAGAGCTGGATGAACACAGCAGGCCAAGCAGCATCAGAGGAACAGGAAAGGTGACGTTTCGGGTCTAGACCCTTCTTCAGAAATGGGGGAGGGGAAGGGGATTCTGAAATAAATAGGGAGAGAGGAGGGGACGGATAGAAGATGGATAAAGGAGAAGATAGATGGAGAGAAGATAGATGGAGAGGAGACAGACAGGTCAAGGAGGTGGGAATGGAGCCAGTGAAGGTGAGTGTAGGTGAGGAGGTAGGGAGGGGATAGGTCAGTCCAGGGAGGACGGACAGGTCAAGGGGGCGGGATGAGGTTAGTAAGTAGGAGATGGGGGTGGGGCTTGAGGTGGAAGGAGGGGATAGGTGGGAGGAAGGACAGGTTAGGGAGGCGGGGACGAGCTGGGCTGGTTTTGGGATGCGGTCGGGGGAGGGGATATTTTGAAGCTTGTGAAATCCACATTGATACCATTGGGCTGCAGGGTTCCCAAACAAAATAGGAGGTGCTGTTCCTGCAACCTGCGGGTGGCATCGTTGTGGCACTACAGGAGGCCCAGGATGGACATGTTGTGCAAGGAGTGGGAGGGGGAGTTGAAATGGTTCGCGACTGGGAGGTGCAGTCGTTTGTCGTGAACTGAACGTAAGTGTTCCACAAAGCCGTCTCCAAGCCTCCGCTTGGTTTCCCCGATGTAGAGGAGGCCACAACGGGAACAGCGGATGCAGTATACCACATTAACAGATGTGCAGGTGAACGTCTGTTTGATGTGGAAGGTCTTTTGGGGCCTGGGATGGGGGTGAGTGGGGAGGTGTAGGGGCAGGTGTAGAAGTTGCAGGGAAAAGTGCCGGGTGTGGTGGAGAGTGCTGAGCGGACAAGGGAGTCACGGAGAGAGTGGTCTCTCCGGAAAGCAGATAAGGGTGGGGAGGGAAAAATGTCTTTGGGGTCGGATTGCAGATGACGGAAGTGTCGGAGGATGATGCGTTGGATCCAGAGATTGGTGGGGTGGTACATGAGGACGAAGGGGATTCTGTTTTGGTTGTTATTGCAGGGAGGTGGGGTGAGGGATGCGTTACGGGAAATGCGAGACATGGTCGAGGGTGTTTTCGACCACTGGGGAGGGGAAGTTGCATTCCTTGAAAAACGAGGACATCTGGGATGTCTGGGAGTGGAATGTCTCATCTCCTGAGCAGATGCGGCAGAGGCGAAGGAATTGGG